AGTAAATTCACCAAATAAGGAGTCAGTTACCCTCAGGAAAAGCAACTGTTATAAAGGGGGAATCTTGTATGCATGCAAACGTTTTATTACTCTTAATCAGGGTTATTTTTGCTGCTGCTATCACCTGTGGACATCAGATTCTTCAGTTTTGAATAGACTCTCACCAGAAATTCTCCTGGGAGCTTCTAGGCTATAGCCTTGTCCTGTGATCTACATCACTGATCCTCCTTTTTATGGAAGCCTCCAGCTTCTTGGCCTGAGAAAGTGCACATTTCCCCAACTCTCCTGTCTGCAGATAGACAGTGTAGGAGTATCTGCTAAGCCATTTCAATTTAATAAATCTCTTTATAACTGTATAAGTTCTTTTGGCAGTTTGCATGCCAGCGACATTTTCACTAAGCATGAGAGCTTGCCAGTATATACATATACACGTATATATGTGTATATATACACATATATATGAATATATGTATATATACATATATATGTATACATATATATGTAAGTTGAAAACACTTCAAAATAAACACAGAGCAACATCGTCTGAAAACATGTAACGACATTCCAACATTTTTTTACATTTTTTATTATTATATCTTTAAGTAGTTATACAAAGAAGGTCCCATTCTACAAAACAGTATATGAGTACAAGGTGTCTGACATTGTCACCTAACGCTCCTAACCCATCCCTTCTCTCACTTTTTTTTTTAATTGTGAAAATACCATGCAGAGGGGTTACAATTACATGGACAAGCTAATGAGTACATTTCTTATCAAGCATTGTTGCCTCCTCCTTTGTTTCCCCTTCCCATCCCTTCCCATCTTCCTCCCTTTTTCCCCCTCCCCCCACTCCTGGCCAAAGTTGTAAAGTTCGTTTTTTGACATAAAGTCTTGTACATCTCATTGTTGCAATGGGTCCGCCTGTATCCCTATTTAAACAATTTGTTTTTTCCCTTCCCCTCCACAAAGTATACCAGCATCAAATACAGTGAAAACAGGATCTCACTTTTTTTTTAAATTGAGATTAGGTGATTACATAAATTTTACAGTATTGTGGAATAGTGATAGTTAGTCACAAACACATTTTAACTGTCACAAGGCAAATTGTCATTATCATGGTCTATAAAGTTTGTGAATTCTATGAGCTTTGACAATACAAATTATTTCTTCTACATCAGGTGATGATTACACTTCTTTCCTTTTGCTTATTATAGGCTGCTCCCTCTTTCCCTCTCATTCCTCCCTTCCCATCGCTGTCCTTGGGTTGCTTGGTTCTTTCTCTTCTATGTCCAGTGCAGCTGATGGGCCCCTTTGTTGTATGTTGTTCCATTCCCACTTACTCTGTTCCTCCTTCTGGCTTCCTTCCATTGTGTGCATATATCTACCCAATATATGGTCAAGAACATGGAGTCATTTAGTACTGATGCGACAAAGTGGGTGGCTGTCCTTTGTTTCTTGGGTCCTATTTACTTTGTCATGTCGTCTTGCATTTTGGCTTTAGCATCCGCACATCAGGAAGACCATGTGCCGTTTGTCTCTTTGTTCTTGGCTTACTTGGCTCAAAATAATCTGCTCTAGTTTCCAAATCTTGGCTATTGTGAACAGTGCTGCAATGAACATGGAGGGACATGTGTCCTGTATACTGGTTCTTGTTGCTCAGGGTAGATGCCTAGGAGTGGTATGGTATAGGAGAGGTCTATATTTAGCTTTCTGAGGTACCTCCAGATTGTTTTCCAAAGTGGTTGTATTAGTATACATTCCTACCAGCAATACAGTAGGGTTCCTTTTTCTTCACATCCCCTCCAGCATTTGTCTTTGATTGAATTTAGGATATGGACCATTCTTACTGGGTAAGGTGGTAGGTATCTCAGTGTAGTTTTTATTTGTATTTCCTTTACATCTAGGGATGATGAACATTTCCTCATGTGTTTCTTTACCATTTTTGTTTCTTCTTCTGAGAAGTCTCTCTTTAGCTCCCTTGCCCATTTAATGATTGGTTTGTTAGATTTGTGAAGGGTTAGTTTCTCGAGTTCCCTGTATATAATGGATTTTACACCCTTGTCTGATATTTTGCTGGTAAGTATTTTTTTTCACAATTAGTTGGCTTTCTTTCTAGTTTGGTTGCTATTTCTTTATCTGTGCAGAAACTTTTTATTTTAAGGTAGGCCCATTTTTCCAGTCTCTCTCTAACTAGTTGTGACCCTGGGACTCTGTTCAGGAAGTTCCTTCCTGTGCCTATTAGTTCAAGTGTCTCTCCTACTCTGTCCTGCAGTAGTTTCAGAGACTCAGGTTTGATGTTAAGGTCTTTAATCCATTTTGAGTTGATGTTAGTGCATGGTGACATGCTAGGGTCCACTTTCAGTTTTCTGCATGTGGCATTCCAAAATTTTTGTAGATCCCAAATATATTATTTAAAAACCCAGCATATCTGCCTCCTTTTTTTTCTTTGCTGGTCCTGTGGCTTGAACTCAGGACCTGAGCTCTGTTTCTGAGCCTTTCTGTGCTCAAGGCTACCACTCTACCACTTGAGCCACAGTGCCACTTCTGGCTATATCTGCATTCTTTACAAAAATAAACTTGTTTCAGTGTAGGAGTCTCACCTTATATGTCTACTCCTACATTTCTCCATCTTTTTCTTTCTCAGCAGTGTACTCTTCTCTACAATGGAACAGCCAAATGGGAAGTGACTTCTGGCTATGCTTACAGATTGGCACTGTGATCTCTGCCATTTCTTTCTTTTCTTTTTTTTTTTTTTTTTTGGTCAGTTGTGGGTCCTGAACACTGGGCCTGGGTGCCGGCCCTCAGCTCTTCAGATCAAGGCTAGTGCTCTACCACTTGAGCCACAGTGCCACTTCCTGGTTTCTGGAGGTTTATTGGAGGTTGAAGTCTCACAGACTTTCCTGTGGGGGCTGGCTTTGAACTGTGATCCTCAGATCTCATACTCCTTAGTAGTTAGCATTATAGGCATGAACCACTGGCACTCAGCTCAGTTTTTTATTTTTTAAACACTGCACACTGCTAGAGATTTGTTTTTTAAATCATTCAGCTCTCTGAGTAAGGCTTCACACAGTCTACTCTTCTTGACTCCTATTTTCTTCCTGTTCTCTCACCAGACATCTGCTTGCAGTGTATCACTCAGGACAATCATGGCTCCTTTGTGAGGCAGTCAGGGGTCTTCCTCTGTGCCCTCACAGCTCCAACCACATCCAACATTTTTTACTGTCATTTATAGTACCTTCCTCATTGGATTCAGATTACTTACTTTGATGACAGTCAAGCTCCTTCCTCAGAATAAGAGTAAAAAAATGGGTTGCTAGGGCTGGGAAGATGGCTCAGTGGTAGAGTGCTTGCCTTGCATGCATGAGGCCCTGGGTTCGATTCCTCAGCACCCCATAAGCAAAAAGAAAAAAGCCGGAAGTGGCGCTGTGGCTCAAGTGGTAGAGCGCTAGACTTGAGCTGAAGAGCTGAGGGACAGCGCCCAGGCCCAGAGTTCAGACCCCACGACCGGACCCCCCCCCAAAAAATGGGTTGCTGGTGGCTCAAGTCTCTAATTCTAGCTACTCAGGAGACTGGAATCTGAACGTCAAGTTTCAAAGCCAGCCTAGGAAGGAAAAATCTCTGGGATTCTCATCTCAATTAACCACCAAAGAGCTGGAAGTGGAACTGTGGTTCAAGTGGTAGAGCCCTAACCTTGAGTGAAAAACTTAAAGAACAGTTCCTTGGTCCAGAGTTTCAGCCCCAGCAGTGGTGACTTTGCATGAGTGCGTGCGCGCGTGCACACACACACACACACACACACACAGGAGTAAAATCTGAGCCCCTCTGTTTCAGATTCCACTGCATCTGCTTCCTGCTTATTCAATCCTGTATCCTTCCTCCCTGCTCTGTTCTGTTGCCTCCAGCATACATCACCAGCTGTTATATCCCATTCACTAATTCATCATGTTTACTGCATTACCCTTGCATCACATGAGCAGGAAAACTCCACAGCAGGAGTTTTGTAGTGCTCACAGGGGTATCAAGTAGCCAGGGCGTGGGCACCAAAACCACTCTTTCTTTAATGAATGAAATCCAACCTCTGAGCTCCTTAAAGGATTGTGTTTTATTTGTAAACCCAGGATATACCTGGCACACACAGCCTATTTAATAAGAATTAGTTTCACCAACTTTCCATTGGGGAAATAGGGTGATTCTGGAATCATTTTAATGGATAGAAATCAAGGAAAGACCCAGTTATTTAATCACCTGTCAGATTTCTCCATCGTTTCCCCATTTCATATTCATTACCAATAATATCACGGGTTTGAAGTTCCACTGTACACGCGCGTACAGTACAGTGGAGGTGGAGTGTCACACAAATGTTTGCAAAGTTATAGACACGTAGATATTTATTGCACTCACTACACGTTTATTTGCATACAACACTAAAGTAACATGGCCAGTGCCAAGCACTTGAGAAGCATTTTCCTGGGGAGGTGGGGGTGGAGGATATGGAGGGGTGGGGTAGGTAATGAGGCTTTAAGGTGGCTTTATGGAATTGCATGTTAGAACCTACTGCAGTAGGTTCAGAAGGAGGCTGAGTCCTGCCAGAGCGGAGAAATAGAGAGGAGGACACCTACTGCATCTGCCACAGGACCCTCAAACCTCATCCTAAGGCTGTTTCTAGCTCCAAGATCCTAAGAAGGGGTAGGAAGGACAAGGAACGATGAAAGGGAAGGAACAAGGGCGGCGAGAAAGGAGAAAAGGTGCCAAGTAACTTTTTGACATCCTGCGCTTCATGCTTGGATTACCACGTTAACCTACTGAAGACGATTTTAGCACCCCAGGGGACGCCACACGGGCTCCTTTAAGAGGCAGTCCCGGTCTTCCCACTGCCAGGCTGGCGGAGCCCCAGGGAGCCTCCAGGTGGGTGTGCGCTGGACGGAGGCCACCTTAGTAGGGGCGGAGGATGGCGCGAGGCCCGCGCTTTCCCTCACCGCCCTGGCAGTGGCGCGGCGGGCATGGCAGAGATGAGGCCGGGAACAGCGACGGGGCAGCAGCTCAACGCGCTGCCCGATCACTCGCCGCTGCTGCAGCCGGGCTTGCAGGAGCTGCGGCGCCGGGCCCGGGAGGCGGGAGCCCCGTTCTCCGATTTGCCCTTCCCCGACGCCTTCCTGCTGCGGTTCCTACGCGCTCGGGATTTCGACCTGGACTTGGCCTGGCGGGTAAGCATGCAGCGCCCCGCGGCTGTGCTGTGCGGGACACCCGCCCGCACCCCCGGGCTAGGCAGACAACCTCGCGCGCACTGCCCACCGACTGCGCTAGTGCGCAGAAATCCCGCGCTGGTCCTGCCCGTTTCTCAGGGATAGGAAAGTCTCCTAAGCCTTCGGGTATAGAATTTTGGGGGGGAAATGCCTTCCCCTTCCAAGAGAGACTGCTGTCACAGTGAACAAAGCCACCGTGGAAAAGCTGGAAGCTCAGACCTGCCCCATCGGGGCAGTTAACTCTCAATGTGGCAGGGAGGGGGACAAGGAGGTGGGAGGGAAAATTGTGGGTAAACTGAACCTCTGAAACCATACCATGGTCTTATGAATAGTAATACTTCAATGTGAAGTAGTACAAGCAGCTCAGGATATTTGAATCCTGGGAATTCAAGTATCAAACACACCCGTTTTCCAGGTGTGCCCCAGCTGGTTGGGAGAAAAGCGGGGGGGGGGGGGGGGGAGAATGAAAAATTGAAAGTCAGATGCGACCTTGAGTTTGTCACTTGGGATTCAGCGTCCTTATTTGGTAAATAACGGTGAGGACTCTTACCTTTATTGATTAGTTTCGAGGACTGAACATTGACCTTTTAACGGGTAGAGCAGGTGTGCCCAGCACAGTGTCTGACCATAGTGTAAACATTGTACCAGATGTAGCCCATCCGCCAAGAGAAAATACCAGCGGGGCTCAGGATCAGTTTTGTTAAATGAATTTTAAATTACAAAAACAATGCATATGCTATAAAAATAATACAATAAGCCAGGCCCCGGTGGCTCAAACCTGTAATCCTAGCTACTCAGGAGGCTAAGATCTGAGGATCACGGTTCAAAGCCAGCTCAGGCAGGAAAGTCCATGAGACTCTTATCTATAATAAAAACCATCAGAAAAGCAGAAGTGGTGCTGTGGCTCAAGTGGTAGAGTGCTTGCCTTGAGCTGAAGAGCTCAGGGACAGCGCCCAGGCCCATAACTGACTCAACAACAACAACAAAAAAATACAATAATACAAAATAGTAAAAAGTGAAAGCTTTTTGTCAACATCATTTGAAATCAACATACATTCGCTGCACGTACAAACAGATTAGATTATACAAAGTAAAATTTAAAAAGTAATTTCTACTGGAAAAACTTCCCATCCCCAACCTTAGATGACTAGTCAAACCTGTTCTATCTTCACACCAGCAGGTACCTGTGGTTTTCATATTTTGCTTTTCTTATAAGATTTGAAGTGGAGATAATCTCTTACGAAAATGTGTCCATATACATCTTAATTTTATTGGGCAGCTATTATTCCATAAAATAAGTACATTAAAGGTATCTAACTGATCTGTTTGTTGGAAATAGGGGTTACTTCCTCTTGTTGCTGGTAGTATCTGTATGATACTTACGCCTTCAATTATTTTAAGACATCTATTCTTTGTCCAACAGTGCAGACAATGCAGTAAACAAGGCAACTGTTATTTCTTCCATCAGAGACTGAATTCTAGAATGTCTTCATACATTATTTTGTCATATAAATATGGACTTTTTCTATTGGTTGTGGGGCTTGAACTCTGGGCCTTGGAACTGTCCCTCAGCTCTTCAGCTCAAGGCAAGTGCTCTAGCACTTGAGCCACAGTATCACTTCTGGTTTTCTGATGGTTAATCAGAGATAAGAGTTTCTTGGACTTTCCTTGCCAGGGCTGGCATTGAACCGTGATCCTCAGATCTCAGCCTCCTGAGTAGCTAGGATTACAGGCTTGCCCCACCAATGCCCAGCTATAAGTTCAACTTGCAGAACTACCGGGCATAGTTCTTTTTTTTTAATTTTTTTTAATTTTAATTTTTATTTTTTGTGAACATACTGTACAGAGGGGTTACAATTACATTGGGAAGGATAATGCGTACATTTCTTATCAAGCATTGCAGCTTCCTCCTTTGTTTACCCTTCACATCCCTTCCCAGCCTGCCCCC